GTTTTGAAATGATATTAGACTAGTACCATCAACTTCCAGTCTTTGAGAATACCAGAAATCCCATTTTGAAACTTAACTTTCTATTTTCTCATCTTCTAATTAAACTTACTTTTCCTTAAGCACCAGCATTCAAGATAAAAACATTTCTTATTCAATTTTATTTTTGTTTTAATTACTATTATTAGAGCAGTATTGTTTTCTACTATTTTTCATTACAAATGTACAGCTAGATTATGGGTTAATAGACTTCTGTGGGAACCTGGGAACCTAACCATCCATGTATTAAATTGTTTCTAGTAAAAATTTCTTCCATGTTCTAAATAACTGACTTACAAACTCAGAAACACAAGTCGTTGAGGACTTCCTGGTCTTTCACCAAACTTTAACGGTTTCTACTCTTTTTGTTGAGTGATTGGGAAGTGGGGTAGGACTTATGATTTCATTCATCTAGAGCAGAGGTTCCCAAACTTATTTAGCCTACCACCCCCTTTTAAAAAATTACTCAGTGGCCCCCTGGAAATCTACTTTCTTTAATCCTTTAAAGTTTGGTTTTTTTTTTTTTTTTAATTTGTGTCAATTTTATAAAAGGATGGTTAGGTTCCCAGGTTCCCATGCTGGGCTTCCCGACAATGTTCAACACACTTGCACATGCTCACCTGCCAACAGTTGCTTGTTAAGACCTGTCTGAAGACTTGACCACTGATTGGTTATAACTCACATTTTATGTGTTTATTTGGAAAATAATGTAATCCCTACAACTTTAATTCTGTTATACAACATATGAAATATATATGAACAGTTTTTCAAAATTTTCTTCTCTTGGCAATTAAAGCCATCTATAGTCATATGAAAAAATGCTCTAAATCAGTATTGATTAGAGAAATGCAAATCAAAACAACTCTGAGGTACCACATCATACCTATCACATTGGCCAACATGACAAAACAGGAAAATGATAAATGTTGGAGAAGATGTGGGAAAATTAGAACACTAATGCATTGTTGGTGGAGTTGTGAAATGATCCAACCATTCTGGAGAGCAATTTGGAACTATGCCCAAAGAGCTATAAAAATGTGCATACCCTTTGACCCAACAATAGCACTTCTAGGGCTGTATCCCAAAGAGATCATACAAATGGGAAAAGGACCCACATGGACAAAAATCTTTATAGCAGCTCTTTCTGTGGTAGCGAAGAATTGGAAATTGAGAGGATGCCCATCAATTGGGGAATGGCTGAGCAAGTTGTAGTACATGAATATGATGGAATACTATTGTGCTATGAGAAATGATGAACAGGCTGACTTCAGAAAAATCTGAAAAGACTTGTATGGTCTGATGCTGAATGAAATGAGCAGAACCAAGAGAATGTTGTACACAGTAACAGCCACGTTGTGTGATGACTAATATTGATAAACTTAATCCTTCCTGGCAACATAAGGATCTAAGACATCTCCAGAGGCCTTGTGATGGAAAATGCTATCCACATCCAAAGAAAGAACTATGCAAGTTGAATTGCTATTTTTTTTTTCTCTTCTGTTGAGTTTTGTTTCCTCTTTCTGATGGTTCCTCCTATTGGTTTTAATTTTTACTTACAACATCACTAATGTGAAAATATGTTTAATATGAATATAAATGTATGGCCTATATCAGATTTTGCACCATCTTGGGGAGGGTGGTGGGGAGGAAGGGGGAGAAAAATTTTAAACTCAAAAGCATATGGAAGTGATTATTGATAAATCAATATAAATTAATATAAAAATTTTTTAAAGTTTCTTCTCTTCTTTCCTTATGCTTCCACCTCCCCCTTACCCCAATTCCACCTAAGGCTACTACCACTCCCCTGGATTGTTCCAGTGCCCCCCCCGGGGGAAGTATTGCCCACTTTGGGAACCTATGAGAATTCCCAGGTAAGTAAATCCCCTCTACCAAAGCAGATCTGCAATTGTTCTGCAATTTAAAGTCAACAATTTTCTTGGAAGGGTTCCTGGGACACTGGAAGACTGTGATTTTTTCAAGGTCACACAGCCAGTATATGCCAGATGTGGAACATGGAACCCAGGCTAACTTGACTTCCAGTCTGACTCTATTCATTTTTGCCACAAACTTTCCTTCGTTCTCTCCTTTCATCTAAGAATATTCTCTGATAATTGCTTCTCTCTTCATACTTTCCCTCTTATCTTCATCCTTTCCCTCTTATCTTCATCTCTTACTATCTCATCATTTTACCTTTTTGAGTCTTATGAACTAGTTGCCTCTGTAGAAGCCATTATATACTTTAAGTAATGAGCTCAGTCATATGACTCAGTTAAGCAACTGTCAAATAATTTCTGTCACGTCTTTCTTGACTGAAAGTCTTTACTTTCCTTGCTCTTTTCTGAATATCTACAGTTTTTCTTTGTTTTACTGGCACTATAATGCCACAACCTGAATGTCTCCAGAGTTTTGTAAGCTTAATGCTATCAATTCCCTTGTGACAGCAGAATTGAAAATCTGATGCCTTTTACTGTCATAAGGTATCCTCTTTTTCCCTAGACTCTACTTGCATTATTCACACTGCAGATTCTGGGCAGGACCCATTTTCCCTTGTGTTACCTATAGAAATCAGAAGCACAGGGTTGAGGAAACCTATACAAATTAATTATAGACTATATTATAGTCTGGCTGGGATAGTTCAGTGTGCAAATTGTAAGTTGAGAGGACTTACATTACAGAGTGTCTCCTCTCATGGTCTCCTGGTAGGAATGCAACCTAAACTACTTTTAAAATGTTTTATTGATGGGTTAAGAAAGGACCAAACATTAAAATAACTTCCTAATGACTTCCTTCCTCTCCAATAGAATCCTTTCTTATAATAAAGGACAGTTAAGCAATACAAATCAACACGCTGGCCATGCCTGACAATATGTGCTTCATTGCATACCTATATTTCACAAATTGTCTGAGAAGTGGGAGGCATTCTACACTGCTGATCCTCTCAAGTTACAACTGGCAACCTAAACTATTCTAGCCAGACTATAGTCTATATCTTAGTCTATAATGACAGAAGGGAACACATAATCCCCAGGAACCCAATCCAGATAATGGGGAAAAAAGATACTTTAAAAATAGAGAGGCTGAGTTGTTAGTATTGTTGACCTCTTCCACAACCCCTAATAATGGTAAACGCTTGTCTACATTTGTTCCATCTTCATTTTCTATTGCTAACAGAAAATGGTTTCTTCAATTCATGGACAGTACTTGATACCCACTAAATGGTTTACATATGTTTACTTTATTTTATTACTGTACTCAGGCAGCATGATCACCTGATCAGAAGTCAAAAAGATTTAGGAGGAACATTAATTCAAAGCCCAACTCAAGTTTTACCTACCTCCATAAGATTCTTTTTGTCGATGTGAACCTATGTTGTTGGTTCCTGCAGATAAAGTCTGGGTCTCCCAAGTTAGCCATGATCCTTTCTCTCTGTCTTGTATGTTAGTCTTTTCTCCCCAAGAAGGTCGACAAGAGCAGGGACCACATCATATTACTTTTGTATTCCTCATTGATATTATCACATTGGTAATATGTCATGATGCATTCCATAAATCTCTAATGGATTAGGCCTTGTTTTCTTTGGGTTTTCTCTATGGTTTTACACACACACACACAGACACACACACACACACACACACACACACACACACACACCTCTTAATATGCCAGGTATAGGATATTTATATGAGTTGTGTTCCTCTAAAATACTGTGTGTAAATCAGATTTCTTTAAATGAAATATTTTCTAGACAGGAGGGAAAGCAATTGGGCCTTCACATAAAAAAATCACTACGTTATTTTTCAATCCTTTTGAAAAGCAAAAAGTTCTTTGCCTTCTCTTAAAGCTAAGCACCAATGGAACCTTAGGTTTGGAACCTGAAAAAGGGGTTGTATTCTGAGAAACCCAAATACCTATGAACTAAGATGTACTCACCAACATATGAGCAGAAAGGAAAAGAAAAAAAAATAGTCCTAATATACTCTACCCTTTGGCAAAATAGCAGGTTTATATCATACAATAAATAAATGAATGAATGAATGAATGAATACATGAACAAATGAATGAGTGAATAAATGAAGATAGCAAACATTTATAGAGTGCTTACTATATGCCAGGCACTGTGCTAAGCACCTTACAATTATCATCTCATTTGATATTCACAACAACTTTGGGAGGTAGGTGCTATTATTATCCCCATTTTTAGTTGAGGAAACTGAGGCAAATACATTAAATGACTTGCCCAGGATCACATAACTGGAGCCTGAGGTCATATTTGAACTCAGGGCTTCTTGACTCCAGGCCCAGCACTCTGTATGCTATAAGCATCCCTTACTTGTTTCTATGCCACTTGCTTCTAATGTCACTGTATACCACCAATGTATACCACTGTATACCACCAATACTGCCAAGGCAGGATTCTCTTGGATACTTGGACCTTTCTTTGCATTTCTGCACCTACCACAGTTTTAGCTGTATGAAAGCACGACCCCTAAAACAAGTGGTGAAAAATGCTATTCTGGCAAAACAAAAGAAGTCTGCACACTTCTTTCTCTCCTTCCTTCATTTCTTTTTCACCTGGGACTCATTTGCAAGCTGACTAAATCAAATGGACCAGGCTGTTTTGGTCTTCTTTCATGAAGCCTATTTGTTTTTCTCATCAATTCTGATTTAAAAAAATTCAATTGTACTTTTATTTTCAATTCCAAATTCTCTTCCTCCCTCCACCCTCTCCCCTACCTACTGAGAAGGCAAGAATGTATACTTTGTATACATATGAAGTCATGTAAAACATATTTCCACATTAGCCATGTTATGGAAAAGTAAAACCCAAAAGAAAAAAGGGAAAAAATATGCTTCAATCTGTATTCTGAGTCTTATCCGTTCTCTATCTGGAAGTATATAGCATTTTTCATCTTTTCTCATGAATTTTGAAAGAAATTCCATTTCTCTGCCTTGACAACACTCACCTTTAGTTCTTTAGGCAAGTGTTTCTCCTCTCTCCACTTTTCTAATTCTGGTATAGTTGTCAGGAATGGGAACTCTTGTTTGGCACCATACACTAAAAGACAAAGGAATATGAAAAGCTAAGATGATGATTTTATCAGTATTTCAAGCTAGAATTATACACATCTACTAAAAATGAATATGGCAGATAATTGCCTAACCAGAATGACGTTCTATAAGTGATTCTAGTGATTCTTTAAACAAAAATCCATTTTATTTCAATACAATGGATGTTTCCTAATAAATCCCCTAAAAAAAATAAATTCTCCGAAAACAACAGATAATTAGAAAAAGTAAGAATATGTCCTTTAGCTGTAGGAGGATGATACTAACACTGAATGTTGTATTTGACTGGAGGTTTGTTGTCTTTCCATGTTGACTTCATTTATGCACAGAGAAAGCCAAAGTTTATGCTGAAATGTAGCATGATAATTCCTGTCAGATATGTACATTAAGAGAAAAAAATATAAACCAGAGGTGGAGGCCAATGGTGCTATCTGCTTCATGTAATCTTGTTCTTGCCCAGAGTTTTATTTGTGCACCAATCAGGGAGATTCTAAGGTGTGAAGGGACTATCACTTATCCAAGTTCCCACATAGCTATCGTCTATGTAGACTTACAACCAGGGATTTAACACAAGTTAAAAGGAATTTTCTAACCTCAAGTCAAATAGTTACCTGGGACCATGGAGAGACAGTTGGTATCACAAGAGAAAGATAGCCAAATGAATAGAATTAAAGTGAATCTATGGCTTCTGTTAACTTTTGATGGTAGTTTAACTGGGGGGAGGAAGGAGAGATGGAGAAGAGTAGGTGGCTCACAGCCTTGGCTATATACAAAAAAAAATAACAGCCTGTCCTCATCAGGGAGAGGTTTTCTAGCCATTGTAACCTAGTACAACATAGTAGAGAATGGCAGTATATTATAGTAGAGAATGGGGTAGCAGATGGTCTTGAAGGAATTAAATAACTTAAGTTCAGAAGATGAAAGTAGAAAGCAGCTGAGCAATCATAAAACTAATGGAAAAACTCAGCAGAGATGACATGCCAAGTAAAGACATGATGTCTAGCATAAAACACTGGTAGTTGTGCAGTACTGAAGGTATGAGTTGCCCTGGTCACATGTTTTGCTTTTTGTGTGTGTGTGTGTGTGTGTGCCTTGGCCACATGCATTCCTGAAACATGCCTCTGGAAATATGTATGAAAGAGCATATTGTAGGAATGTAACATTTCTATGTGTTTTCTGGTCATGGTTCCCCTGTATCTGTGCCCTCCATGGATATTTCTTGGTTCCATGTATTCTCTATGTATCCTTTAAACGTATATCCCATGTATGCATGGGAAATATTTTGTCACCTTACCTACTATACTACTTGGTTAAATGCCTTTTGCTTTGAACTATTGTGTCCCCAGGATGGTAAAAGTAAACATTGATGGGGGTATAATCCATGAGTTTGAGTAGCTGCCATCTTGCAGAATGCTTTGAATTTTATGCACATGTCTGAACATGCACGCACGCACACACATACATATACAAACTGTTCTAAGTCATTATCTTCTTTGGCTCTGCTTTTTTCATGCTAATTAACTTTATATAATCTTCCCACATTTCTTTGAATTCTTCATATGTCATTCTTTAAATAGTATTAATATTCCACTACAACCAGGCTTTTTTTTAGCCATTCAATTGTTGAGCAATTATTTGTTTCTAGTTCTTGTTTTCTTGGTTATTATGAATATTTTTTACATATGAGTCTTTTGTTCTCTCTCTTTCTTTCTTACTGTCAGTCTTCTTGGGGATACAGATGCACTGCATTGGGTCAGAGTGTATGCATAATTTCGTAACTTTTTTCATCAAATTTCAAATTGTTTTCACCAGCAGTGAATCAGTGTGTCTGCCTTCTTATGACCTATTTAGAAATAAGGTTTCTTTCTTCATTTCCTATCTCCTAGCTGTTCAGAAATCAAGTTATCTTCGCTAATAGTGCCATCAGACATGAGAAGTGTCCAAACTAAGTCTCTCACAGAATTTCACAGTTGGAAGTTCCTCAAAGGCCATCTAACTTGGTGGGTTGTTGCTTTTCTCTGATCATTAGATATTCTAAACATTTCCCCATGATGTTGTTTATAGCTTGTATTTTTTCTTTTGAAGATTGTATGTTCATATACTTCGACCAGCCTGGTGGTTGTTTTATGGGATAGAATTTTTCTTTAGCTTATGGGTAGAATTTAAAAACTGCTCTTAGATCTTTGAATATAATTTACTTGCCAGGAGCCCTCAATACATAGTCAAGATTTGGAAAAGAAAACAAAGTTTAAAAAAAAACTCACAAAAAATGCTGGTTTATAAAGACCTCTATTTGATTGTTAAGAAAGAAGGTTTACTTATTCTTACTCATAGAGAGGTTCATTGGAAACATTCTCCAAAGTCATGAATGTCTAATGTTATAGGAAGAGCACTGGATTTGAAACCAGATATCTCTGGTTTGAATCTCAGTTCTGCCATTTACTATTACCACCTGTGTGAAATTCAGCAAGTCATTTCGCTTCTCATGACCTCATCTTTAAATGAGTGAGTTGGTTAGAGAATTCCTAAGATCTCTCTTCCAGCTTTAAATCTATGAATAGCTGATTATCTGAACTCTACAATTGCCTCTTCCCTGTACACTAGCCATTGCTGAGGGCAAACCTATAAACCCATTCTCCTGATAATACTTTTAATAACTGGAAGAAATGCTAAATTAGTGAAAAGAAAGATGTAAGTTTCCCCTTCCCCCCATTTAAGTTCATGAACCCCTGGTTAAGAATTCCTGCCCTAAAAAAATCTGCTTTATTTTATTGACAAACTTTGGAAAAATCTGCTTTTCTGATCGGTTCTTGCAGCAGAGGAAGTCATCAAATATATATGTGTGTGAAAAAGAAAGAGATGTTCACAGAGTAGATTTATGTAGCAAAGTTGTTTGTTTTTTCCCCCCACAGCACAAAAGCAGAAGAAGCAGACTGTCACTATAAGCAAAATTACAACTGGTATACTGCTAAGCACTCAAATGAAGGATTTTCCATCTGCTTTATAGAAATGAAATTTCATTATATCAGATTTCACAGCATTTTAGGATTCTCCTCCAAGTGTTTCCATTTAAGAATGCTTTAAAATAGGCTTTAAGTCTGAAAGAGGAAATTTGCTGTTACAAAAGAAATAAACTGTAACAGCTGTGATTAAAAGATTTAAAGCCCCATATCACACATATCCATTAAACTTCCTATTTTCTCTCTATGTCTAATAGCCCATCCGTGATTAATTTATTCAACTGCCAAATGCAAAGCATGGGCATTCACAAAATCCAAAAAAAATGGGAATGACCATGAGAACTTTCTGGTTGAGCCCCCACTCCTAGGAAGGTAAAGACTCACAACAATCAAGGCAGATGAAAGTCTGTTCTGTTTTTAAAGCTAGCCAGGAATGGGTAGTGCAGTTTCCTTTGTGACTGGGAGCTTATTCCAGGGCTTAATCCCTGGGATAGTCAAGAAGTTCTTTATATCTAACCACCAAACACTCTAATTTAAACCCATATCCTCTTGTTTAGTCCTTTGTGGAGAAATGTGTGTGTGTGTATGTATGTATGTATGTGTGTATGCATGTATGCATGTATGAAGTAATGCTTCATTTTTTTGAAGACATTACACCACATCCTCAGCATTTTCTCCACCAGGTTAAAACACTCTCCATGAATATTCTCCTTAGAGAGCTTATTTTCAATCCATTTATATTTTTGATTCCACTTCCCTGGACCAAACCCTCTTCTTCTGTTTCTACCCATCCTTTTAAAAACCCAAACTGGACATACTTAGTATAGTTACCCCTTGTTTTCCCAGCATCTCACCCCATGAGATATAATGCTTAAATAAAATTCCTAGTTAACTTGAATTTATCTTTAAAAGGAGCTCATTTATTTCTTTCTATTTTAAATATTTTGATGGCTAACTTTCAAATTTAGACTAAATGCTTCTCCACTATTTCAAACAGAATGTACCATTTCAGCTTTTTTTTCATGACTTAAAGTCACCATTATAGACATAAAGGATTGTAATGTGTTATAACAGTGATGTTTTTGGAGCATATAGGGCTGCTTGTCCTTTTCAGTCATTTTTCAGTCATGTCTGACCCTCCATGACCCCATTTGAGGTTTTCTTGGCAAAGATACTGCAGTGCTTTGCCATTTCCTTCTCCAGGTCATTTTACAGATGAGGAAACTGAGGCAAACAGGGTGAATGACTTGCCCATGGTCACACAGCTATTAAGTGTCTGAGGCCAGATTTGAACTCAGGAAGATGAGTCTTCTTAATTCCCATTCCATCTTACTGCTCTGTACTAGCCTTAGTAATGTGTAAATTTCAATCACCTCTGATACCCATAGTCCTTGTTACCAAATAAAAACTTGTGAGTTAGCTGTAACTTTATTAGCAATTCTGGACTGACTTCGCATATTTCTCAAGTGCTCCTGAAGGCCATGTCTGTTAAGCCTAGTCTGCACAACATCTAGCTGTGTGTTTAATAGGTACATGAAGCTGAAGTATTTCTCAGTGGGAATAGTGACCCTTAAATGCCTCATTTGCCCTTGGCCTCGGGGTTCCTCGCTTCTCTCCCAGAAGATTGACTTTTCGGTAACCATCCCTCCATGCATATAGGAAAGAAAGGGAAAGTAATATGGTAGCACCATGTTGGGTGGTACCATCAATCAGAATTCAACTTCTTACTGACCTTACATAAGAGAGGCTATTTAGGCTAAGGAAAAGCCTATTACCTATTTGTCAATCACTCTTCACACTCTCATAGCCTGTAAGGGACACTGATGGCTGGGGCTTTGGTGTTCTTAATCACACTTTATGAAGCTCTCATCGAAGGGAGGAGGTTTAAAGTGCTACCCAAAAAGCACAGAGCTGTCACCCATGTCACACATCATTTCCATTACAGGCTAAACCTAAAAGCATTCCTAAGCCATTGCCTATGTTCCCCTCATGCCTTTCATCCTGAATCATTTCAGCATCATTGCTGAAGGAGAGCTTCCTCCAGCTGGAAGATGACAGTAATCAGAGGATTCTGTGATCTTCAAAGTGCTTTCACATACATGATCTCATTTGATCCTCTCAATAACCTAGGGAGGTAGGCAGGCAAAGTGCTATTATTTCCATTTTACAGAAGAAGAAACACTCGACACTGCCTTAGCTGTTGTTCCTTCTGTCCAAGCCTTGGGCACTGAGAGGTATAAGTGCTTTATGTGCATGAGTAGCTCTTAGTCATGAAGACCCAGAAAGAGGGAATAGTTTAAATGCACAATGACCCATTTTGGAGGGAATCCTATATAAACTGGAATCAACTAGAGGGTGTAGTTCTTTGGATTTAATGAACTATTTATTCCCACACAGGCTGTTGTTATTAATCTGTGTGCATCCCTGTGGGTAGGAACCTGGAGAGATATACATGTATATACTTGTTGAAATACTTGTTTACATCTCTCTATTGAGTATTTATATGCAGTAAAAGTTTTTCTTTTTCATTATTTTTCATTCTTATTCATTATTTGCTTTGATTTTATTTCTATTATTTTTCATCATTTGCTTTGCTTTAATTTCTCCAAATTGTAAACTGCCATTTGGAGCCAGCATGTGCTTGGCCTAAGAAACTTCTTCAAAAGCTAGAAAGTGGTAGACTTTATACCTGGGCAGCTAGATGGCACAGAGGATAGAATGCTGGGCCTGGAGTCAGGAAGATTCATCTTCCTGAGTTCAAATCTGGCCTCAGACACTTTCTAACTGTGTGACCCTTGGGCAAGTCACTTATCCCTGTTTGTCTCAGTTTCCTCATCTGTAAAATGAGCTGGAGAAGGAAATGGCAAACCACTCCAGTGTCCTTGCTAAGAAAACCTCAAATGCAGTTATGAAGAGTCAGACATAACTGAAACTACTGAATAACAATAAGCCTCTCTAATTCTTAGGGGATGCATTGCAGTCCAAAATAGAGTTGAATGGATCCCATCCTACTGAACCTTAACCCCAAGGTGATATCAGACAGTATTGCATAGCAACAAAGCATCAAATACCTTGGACTCATAATATATATCTCTGAATCTTGGCCCTTTCCCTCTCTTTCTCTCTCAAATGCCATCTGGGCTTTGGACAAAGAGTTAAAAGTCAAGACCTTCTTGTTTCTTTGTGGATGTCAAAGCAGATGGTACAGTAGAAACCACCGGATATAGAATCAGGGGACCTAGGAAACTGAGGCAAACAGGGTTAAGTGACTTGCCCAGGGTCACACAGCTAGTAAGTGTCTGAGGCCAGATTTGAACTCAGGAGGTTGTCTTCTTGACTTCGGGCCCAGTGCTCTATCCACCGTGCAACCTAACTGTTAGAGGGCTAAAGAAGGCACCATGCTTCAAACCTAACCTAATAAATTTTGCTAGATAACTGCTTTTGCAGGCACAATGCTAGAGTTTACATTTGTATCCCTAGCACCTAGAACAGTACCTGGCACATAGCAGTTTCTTAATAAATATTTGATGATTCATTCATTAATTCTTTGAACAAAAATTTATTGATTGTCTATTCTACGCAAGGCACTGTGTGCTTAGCACTTCAAGGGATACAAAAATGTTAAGATCAATCAATAAACATTATTAAGCACTTACTATGTGACAGGCACTGTGCAAAGTGCTGGGGATACAAAAAGAACGAAAAGACAATCCCTGCTCAAACAGCATATAATCTAATGGGAGAGACAACATGCAAACAAATATATACAGAGCAAACTATATACAGGATAAATAGGAAGTAATTAACTGAGGGAAGGCACTAGAAATAAGAGGGATTGGGGAAGGCTTCCAGTAAAGCAAGTAAGGTTTCCAGCCAATTGTAGCATTCACAAATATGACAGATAATGAAAACTAGCTGCATCAACCAACTAGGGACCTTATCCACAGCATGTCTGACATAATATGCAGTATTCAATAGGTATGTTATAGTAAACTCATTTAACTAACCCCAATTAGTGCTTAAATATACCTACCATCTGGGTCCTTAAAGGTTAAAGTGATGAACTTGCTGGCAACCATAAACATGAAAATCACCCAAAAGCACGCAGCTAACAGAAGCCACTGGTGGTGCATGTTGTCAAACGTGAGCCATATAACTGCTGGTTCTTCCTGGAAAACACAGCTTCCTCCCCAGGAAACAAAACAAAACAAAACACAAAAAACCAACCATGGTAAATAGATCAATAAAACAAAAAAGGTATGCAAGAAAAAAAAAGATCAACCCATAATTATTTTGTTGAACAGTTCTAAACCATAAGTAAATTATTCTCCTTCCTCTGATTTCCGGCCAATAGCCTACTAAAGTCCTGCTTTAACATTTTAGTTTCAGTTACAGATTGGGGAACAACTCCTTCCTCCCCCCAATAAATCATGTCAATTTTCAAACATCTTTTGCACAGTGAGGGAAACACAAAAAATGTTTTGTTTGACTTTGGATTGTATCACCATAGGATTTTATTTGGGGAAGTAGATTTATCTTCCTAATTCTGTCTGACTGTGGTTAATATTAAAATGAGCTTGCAATGCCTGAGTTCTCACCAACTGCTGGCAGCCCAGGAACAGGTGGTAAAGGAAAGCCTGCCTGGGATTAGACGTTCACCCTGAGTAATCCACAGGCTATGTACTCCACAACAACATGATCAAGAGCAGACTGTGTTTAAAAGCCTAAATTGCTGACAGAATAAAACTACAACTTAAATAATTGCTGGGGGAGCAAGGGAAAGATTTTAATAATTTAAATTCCCCTGCCTTTATTCACTTGCCAAGACCTGTTCAGACAGGTCTTTCTTTGGTGGTTTCTCTTTTCCATGCTACCATTTACATCTTCAGCAATGCTGAGAGTTTGGGTGTTAAATGTGTCATAGAAGTTATGCTCTGTTGCATATTGAGAGATGTATGAAGAAACTGAAAGCCTCAGCTTGGGTCCTGGCAAGAAAACCAGAGAGAGAGAGACAAAGAGACAGACAGACAGAGAGACAGAGACAGAGACTTTCATTTCACCTTTAACATTGTGATTTTTTTAGTTAAATCGAACTAGTTAGAGAGACCTATATGGGCTAGCATGGTTTTAACCAACCAATTAAGACCATTTATCATTTCAAGGCAAGAAAAGAGACTCTAGGATTACAAATATTATTGCTGCCAGGGGCATCATTTTCAGTAGAATCCAAGCTATAGCTCTCTGAGCTTTGAACTCTGCACATTTAGAATGGAACAAAAAAAAAATAGCTCTCCTACATTATGTACCAAAGCATCAGTATCTTCAAACCTCCTGAGCATGCTGTCATCCCAAGAGGGAATGACAAACTATGTAGCTTTGTGTCTGTCAATCAGAATAGAGGAGGCACACTCAAAAACTACTGAAGTATCTCCTTTTTTCTGTAATGGGTCAGAAAGAAAAAATGAACCAGCTTGGGAGATTTGGCAGAAACAGGCACTTAGTGACTTATTATAGGGAGGCTGGGAGTGTGTATATCCAGAGAATACAGACTAAAGGCAGTGGTGGACAGAGAAAGCTGGCCTTAGAGCTAAAGGACCTGGGTCCAAGGACACATACTGATTGTGTGACCCTGGGCAAATCATTTCTCTCTAGGCAATGTTCTTAAGACTACAATTAGCAGAGAAAATGCCAGCCTGCATAGATAAAGGAAGCTCCATCTTCCAATAATAAATTCAAACCCTATCCCTATAGAGTGGGAATACCCCCATAACATCTGTATATGATGATAACGGGGCAGCTAGGTGGCACAATGGATAGAGGGCTGGGGCTGGAGTCAGAAAGACTCATCTTTCTGAGTTCAAATCTGGCCTCAGACACTTACTAGCTGCGTGATCCTGGGCAAGTCACTTCACCTTGTTTGCCTCAATATCCTCAGCTATAAAATGAGCTAGAGTATCACTGTAGTATCACTCCAGTATCTTTGCCCAGAAAACATCAAATGGTGTCACGAAGAGTTGGACAGAACTAAAATGACTGAACAACAATGACATGATGGTCTGTGTGTAGGCTCTGAACATTTATAGATGTGATACAAAGTATATAGAATCCATATTACAATGGCCAGAGAGTGTTAACCAATAGAAAGAAAAATGAATTTGGAGTCAAAGGACTCCTGCCTATATCCCAATTCCTGCCACCTACTTACTACCTACGTGACTTTTAACGTCTCTGGGCTTCAGTTTTCTAACCTGTAAAATGACATGATTGAATGAGATGGCTTTGGATTAGATAGCCTTGGATTAGATAGCCTTCTAGTTATAAAACTAAGATGCTAAGAACACAGGAAACAGTGAATCATGAAAAGGATTCTCTTTCAGGGGTGAATAAAACTAGGTATCATAAGGAGAAATGCATCATGAAAACTGTCCTGTCTGTACTGACTATACCTTAATCTTCTTGGTTGCACACCTTATCTGTCTCACTAGGTTCCCTGGTCATTTGATCACTCTTCCTTGGTGTCATACTGCCTCCCTGGTATGAGTCAAGGACGCCTTTTTAGTTAAGGTTTATGTGTCCAGAATGCTTCTGTAAGTCACCTTTTAAAATAACCCATCCAGGGGCAGCTAGGTATTGTAGTGGATAGAGCACCGGCCCTGAAGTCAGGAGGACCTGAGTTCAAATCCAGCCTCAGACCAAACACCTGACACTTACTAGTTGTGTGACCCTGGGCAAGTCTCTTAACCCCAACTGCCTAAAAAGATAATAAATAAATAAAATAACCCATCCAAATCCTTATACCATCATTTCACCTGTAAACACACCCCTTATGTGAAGGCTGGCATTATAAATGATAATGATTATTATTTCTTCCTCTTCGACCTCTTAGCTCTCCCTTGCATGTTCAAGTGCCTAACTAATCCAGTCACTAATGGAATGTTTTAAAATTCTTTTATTGATAGTTTTTGTTTTTATGTCACTTACATTTCCCAATATATTTTGCCCTCTTTCCCTTCCCAGAGACCAGTCTTTTATGACAAAGAATAAAAAAGTTCAGCAAAACTAGCAAATATATCAACCAAGTCCAATACTGTATGCAATGCTTCAGATACTCATCTTTTTTTGTATCATAATCTTCCATTATATTCATGTGCCACATTTGTTCTGCCATGTCCAATTGATGAGAACCTGCTTTATTTCCAGTTCTTTGCCAATTAAAAAAAAGGCTGTTATAAATATTTTAGCATATGGGCAATATGCCTAGTAGTTGGAGCTCTAGGTAAAACGAGATGGATATTTTAATCACTTTGTTAGCATAGTTTGAAACTGCTTTCAAGAATAGTTGGACCAATTTACAGCTCCAAAGACAGTGCATCAGTATTGCACTGTCTTTCCATAACTATTCCCATTTCTTGTCATCTCTGCCAATTAGCTGAGGGCATGATAAAGACTTAGAGATGCTTCTGTTGGCATTTCTCCTATTATTAGTGATTTTGAATACAGTTATTAATAGTTTGCACTTCTTTTGAGAACTGACTATCCATAGCCTTTGATCATTATCATTAGGAAATAGCTTTTGGTCTTATTTGTCTGTGTTAGTTACCTACATATTTTTGACCCTTGTCAGAGATATTTTGATTCAGATTTTTCCCAAATGACAGTTTCCTCTCTTAATGACCTGTGTAAATTGTTAATGTAAGAGTTTTAAAATTTCATGCAACTGAAACTTTTTTTTTTTTGGTCTTCTGTGATCAAGAAATCCCTTGCTTAGTTAAGAAATTTCCCCCTAACCACAGCAATGAAAGTTATCTAATCTGGTTCCTTTCTAAATTTTTTATGGTTTGACCTTTAATGTTCAGATCTTGTTATCCATTTTGAGCTTATTGTGGCATATGGTGTAAGATGTTTGTGTAAACCTAATTTCTTCCAAATTGTTTCCCAGTTTCCCTAGCAACTCTTATCAAATAGGGAGTTCTTCAAGGTAGTTTGTGTTCTGGAATTTACTTAACACTGGCGTATTGAGTTCATTTGTTTTTTATTCTTTCTTATCTAATATATTCCACTGACTACCTCTTCTACTTTTTAAATCATCACCAAATAGTTTTGATGATTACTACTTTATAATATAACTTGAAGTCTGGAAATGTTATTCCTCATCCATTCCTTTATTATTTCCCTTGAGGTTGGCTTTTGGAATTTTCTAGAGACCAAGCTATTTAATGGAGCATTTGTTTTCGCTCAAAGTCACAGCAGTTTTCCTTTCAGATTTTAAGAGCTGCTAACTTTTTCTATTCAGGTTATCCACTGTCATCTTTCCTTCTCCTCTGCTCCATTCTCACCCCACCCCCAGTTTCAGAAGGGGTTTATGATTACAACTTGTAAAAGTAGCCCACTGGGCAAAATGTCTGCACAAAGTAACTTAAAGTTAGTTAGTTGGTGTTCTCCCTTTCAGGCTGGTATGTTAACCATGGAACAGGAGGAGGCCATGATAAACAAGGTACACAAGGGAAAGAGATGTGCTTTCCCACTCTCTTTTCAACAGCTTCCAACTGCTGCTTCCCTTTTTTCCATCTCGAAACTAGATTACATGGGGAATCTGGACAGGATGGATAATTAACTGAACTAAGGATAGGGGTTGGGGTGGAGTGGGGAGGCAGAAAAGCCTCAGGTACAGCAAAAGCTAGCCCTTCAGTAAAACTATGTTTTTCTTTAAAGTAGAGGACTTTAATTGACCTTTTATGCAAACCTAGTCAGTCTAGATTTATATTGGACAGGGTGTTCACTTTGTGGCCCAGATTCCTGTTGTCTAGTCTGTTGCCAACAGAGAGTCCCTGCTGGAGATCTATACTCAAGGAATCTGCGATCTTGGTAAATGTTGTACACTGTGCTATGTATTTTGCACTTGCAAGTTATGTTTTAGCATTGCGCTCTCCACTCTTGGTTGAATTTATACAATGGTATAAGCCATTCAATAAATGAGTAGTCCTGACAACTTGAAACCACATAGGCCAAGATTATAGGAAACTACTGCAGTCAAGTTGGAAAAAAAACAAATCAAAATCCCCTAAAAATTGTAGAGCCACTTAAAGTTCTAGTTTTCTAATTTTATAGCAACATATTTCTGTTACTCACTACTACAAGAGACAATATCATTATTGTAATGGAATATATTGGAAAGGACATTTGTTG